GTATATGGTTTACAAATTGAATTCTTAATAATTATCATTAATTTACATTTACAGTATTTATATTATATAACTGATTTCATTATTAATTTTATATTCTCCAACAACCAAACTTTCCATTCCATTGTGAAATTTTGAGAAAAACAGAATTTGTTAAACAACAGCTGAAATTAAACGTCAGTAAACTGCCAGAAATAGAACTATATAGGGGCATATATTTATATATGATTTAACAGTGTTAACGGCTATCCTGATTTAGATTATATGCACACATAATAGTGGTTATGACACTCGCCTGGACAATGAGAGGTTGTCTATCCCACCAAAATAATTAATTGTAGATAAAATGACTAAAAATAACTAAAAATAAAATAATCAGTCTATTTAATGAATGTAGGTTAATATGCTTGCAACTATACAGTATGTAATGAAATACATCATAAAAGAAACATATTACTTTAATGTACTTAAACAAGAATTACATACCTATATACATACATCTACCATTGTGCCTTTAAATTTAGATATAAAACCTAATTTAGCACTATGAAAGCAAGCATAATTTCAGTAAAGGATACTGCCCAGGCTTACTACCACCAGTCGTTTAAATCTTGAGGCTCTTAGTGTTAGGCCTCAGTAGACCAGCCGTAGGCCTAGACTAGGCTAGGTACTACTGAAGCTACTAGGCCTAGCCTAGGCGCACTTACAAAATTTTACACAAAATAATTATGATATTGTTGTACATTTGCAGTACAGTGCAGAAATCGTCTATGAAAAGAAATAACAAAAATAACCGTAAATGCGATTGATTATGGATTATAGCCCTCCTTTCTCTATATTCCTAGGCTTGGCCTCTTGCATTTAAATTGCGATTTAAAGGGACGTCGGACATACGAGTCGCACTACAGACAGTTACTGCAGTGGAACGACTCCAAACGTCCAATGGAGATTGAACCGCCTAATTGTTATTTATTCCGTACTGTAGGCAAGAGAAATGGTTCCAGCGATCCTATGATTTGTTATTGAGATGGTATCAGAAAATTAGTAATTTTTAATTTAGGTTGATGGATAAGCTAACATAAACTTATTTTATTGGTTAAGAAAATAATATATGCTTCTCTCATAAAAAGGAAAATGCAATTTTGTAATTCTTAATCATCGAATTATTAACATTAAATAACCCTAAAATAACCCTAGGCCTAACATTAGGGCAGTCCATATTTTCGTTGGCTCTAATTCAGATTGCACAGGAACAATACTAATTATCGTTTTCTGTTGATGTCTACGCTAAATTCAATGTACTTTACATGTAAGAAATTAATATATGCTGGCTTCATAAAAAGGAAATTATTTATTTACGAGTTATAGTGATGAAATATTGAACGAGAATTTACCCAACTAACCCGTAACTTAACCCTAACGTTCCGTAGTTTTTCCCCGAATTTAATAAAAGTACTACCAGAAACATGCTAATTTTCACTTTCTGCGGATGTCTAAACTAACACAAATTTACTTTTTATGTCTATAGATGAATAGAGTTTCGCATCTTTAAAAGTAAAATGTATATTTTGAGGTAATTGGTAGAAATTTTGTGATTAAAAAATTCATTTTAGGTGTAATAAATTACAACGGTCCCCGAACAGACAATCCCTTAGCCCTCTGCTGCTCCATCCACATGTACATAGCCGCGTCTACTTTATCGAAAATTGATGTTTTCACATACGAAGATTTTCTTGTTTTAGCAGGGTTTTCGTTTGTTGAAATGTGTCTTTGTATTTTTTCTCTGTTTTTCCATATGGTCGCTACCGTAGACTTCGAAAGTGCAAAACGTTTTCCAATCGTCGAATAGGACTCGTGGTTCTCATAGAATTTTATTACGCTCAGTTTCGTATCAATGGAAATACACTGTCTTGGTTATTTCGAGGCAGAAGCCATTGTTGAAATGAACATTACATTTCATTTAATTATGTTTCAATCAATTAATTAAACAATCAGGTCTATGCTCCTCCCATGATCCCTCCCTACCAATGAAAAGGTGTCATTTAAAATAATACGTAAATTCACGTGGATAATAGCTTTAAAAAGTTACCTAAAATCGTTTTACGATCGCATGATGACGTCATCGGCCAAACACCGTTCGTAAAATAGGATCGTAACTGAGAAGTTCGTAATTGGGAAGGTTGACTGCAGTCGACCTTCTCGTAATTGGGAAGGTCGACTGCAGTCGACCTTCTCAATTACGTACCCTTTGGTCTAGAAGGCGTTCGTAATTGAGAAAATTCGTAGCACATGCTCAAGACATCTCAAACAAATAACAAACGTATCGGACGGACATAGACAAATGATAATGTGTAGACGAATGAATAATTTTGTAATGAACAAAATATTTATGAACAAAAACAAACAAATATGAAACCAATGGACGGTTTTACAACTGAACATGTACCAGTACGCATGTAAAATGTGCAAATTGGGATGAAATATCTATTCTGTCTTTATTCATAAATGAGGGATACTAATTGAAAGTATCCCTTAATTATTTTTTTTTTCGTTTTTTATGGGAGGAGGGGTGAAAAATCTTTTTTTTTCCCCTTTTTTTTTGCAGTTTTCTTCAGTACAATTCTGTACAGTACACATCAAACTGGAAAAAAATCCGTCATCGACTTCTATCTTAAATTGTTGAACCTCTGTGTGGCAGCTTCATCTCGCCATTTCCACACTTGCATTCGGTGAATATAATCCACATCTCCTTATCTCCAGCCACATCAGCAAGTTGTCAGCAGCGTTAAAATCTGTTGATGCGTTGACTCTTGGGAGGTGACTAACTTCTTCTTCATCAGATGAATCGTGCTCCCTGGATCGTCTGCGTCTTCAGCCAGCCATTGAACAGGTCCCATCTACTCGCTATCATCGGGTTTTTTATCCGAGTTCTTCAAACATTACATCGAATTCAGCCGAGTCATCGTCATCATGATGGTTTCTTTGATAAGTCGTTGCTCGGCTCTTATCCCAGAAGTTTTCGCCAGCTACAACTTAGGTTTTCTTCAGTTGCATCTGCCCATGCTTGGGAAATCCAACCAGCGCAATCCTTGACTGTCAGCTGCCTGATGACATTTGGAATGTCGTCATCGTTTGCCAGGATGTGTCGTAGGAGATGCTTTTTGTAGCGTCGTTTCAGGGGTTCAAAGATCCTATGGTCCATAGGCTGAATCACGCTAGTGGTGTTTGGGGGAAGATACTCAACCCAGATGTTCCCATCCTCAGAAACGAGTTCTTCTTTTGGGGGTGTGACGGAGGATTATCCAAAAAAAGTAGAATTTTGTATGGAATGTCGTGTTCATAGCACCACCACCGCCGGACAGTTGGAACAAAGTCACTGTGGAACCAATTTTTGAAAACGGTAGCATCTGTAAGTTAATGACCAGCCTGAGGCACTTCGTAGATTACTAGCATTGTTTATTGAGGTACTGACCGACATACATGTATGAGATGGCTAACGCACAGAGAGGGCGTGGTTCAAATTAATACAATGTTCTACATCTTCCTCCTTTTATTTGTTTTTAAACATGATCAATTTATAGTAAATTTAAATTCTTTTCATCTTTTTGTTTCTTTTTTTTTTAACATGAGAACAATACAATGTTATAAGTCAAAAGTGTGACTGTGTTATTCATTCAATTGTGATCATTTCTAACATATTAATTAGCATCTTAAATTTTTGTTTAATTGAGACGAGACGATTTTATTGTGGAAGGCACACTACAAATATCCCACCATTACCATTACCATTTTAATTTCCATTTTACTTATATATTCCAATTCAATAACAATGGACTATAATCAATGGATAATTAATGTTCATTCAATGTTCAGCAATGATATCAATGTTCAATCAATGTTCAATAATCAATGAATAATCAATCTTCATTCAATGTTCAATAATCGACTTTCAGCAATCAAACCAATGTTCAATAATCAACGTTCAGTAATCCAATCAATGTTCAATCAACGCTTGCATTTTTTTTTAAGTTACTGCGCAAACATAGAGCTATTGTATTTGGGATTTTGTTTGACAGTTCGTCCACTTCGGGTTCTCTTGGCTGAATCTGTGTTGGATTTTGTGGTAGTTCTTAACGAGGCTGAGTTTGCATTTTGTGGTTTTGGGTTGTGTATCGGCTGTGTGTCCTAGAATTGTAATGGTATATAAACTGCTTTTTGTATCGGCTTCTTTTCTGTTGCAGGAAGCAAATATTTTCTGTTTCTTCTTATTTGCGTTACACCGGTATCGACCAAATATGATCTTGGCTGTTCCAGAATCTTGCTGATCGTTTCCAGGCGATCATATTCTTTCTTTGTTCTTATTCGAACTGTCTGATTTTGTTGTAGCGGTGGGAGTGCGCTTGCCTGTGCTTTTTTGTCATAGTAGCGCTTCTGTTAGTTTCTCTTCATTTCTAATTGATTTCTTACAACTTTTGTATTGATTGCTTTTGGTGTCAGTAAGAATTTGTTTGTGTAGAGAGGATTTCTAGTTGTTCGTGAGAGTAGTCTATGTGCCGGTGATTTGAGAACATTAGCTCTTGGCACATTGCGTAAGTTCAGAGGATTTTGATAGATATCTGATCCATCTCTTCGTGTCTTTTCTAACAACATCTTTGCCTGCTTTACCGCATTCTCTGCAAGGCCATTTGATTGGGCATATTCAGGACTACTCGTGATGTGCACAAAGTTCCATTCTGATGCGAACTGTTTGAATAGACCTTTCCGCTAAGCCCCGCCCCTTGGATATTATTGCTAAGGTCCCACAAACAACAACAATTTGTAGTAAAAAACATGGCAGAATGTGCGATCGCGGGTGCAGACTCACTGGTAGACATCCCCGACAATATCTGCATTACCTTTCTGCCAAACCACAAAAATTTGTCAGAAAGGATCTTAAAAAAGGGGCTAAACTACTACCTACAAGGTTATATCCATTACATTAAAATTAATGGATCTAAAGTCAATGCAAAATGTTGGAGATCAATGCGGAAGTCGGATCCGCCTCATAGGCTAAACATCAAAATTTCGGCATCAAATCTCACCGATTCTTCTTGTTCTTGTAAAGCTGGGTAAGGCCACGAGAAATTTTCGTCATGAAAATTAGGAAACTACATTTATATTAATTATTTTAGGCAATACCTGGTTTACGATGGATTTTCCCCCTTCTCGTACCCGAAGTCCACAAATCAGGCGTTCCCGGGTTCAGTACTGCTAATAGGCCTAATGACTAGTCATAGGCCTACCCTCCCTAGGCCTACAGCAGTCAGTAGCGACACGTCTGTCGCCGACCTAGTCAGGAACTATTTAACCTGTCACTGATATTTTGGTTGATTTTTATGCCATCCAGGCCAAGTGGGAATAAAAATAATCACCCTATAAGAACCAATTTTTCTCATTGGACATTTCAGAAATCTAGTCAATCAGAAGAACCAATCACATTTATAAACCTTCAAAGTCTTTTTTTTTTAAACTGCGTGCGCTGTATTAATTGTAACATTATTATAATTTCAGCGCGCTGAGCGTTAAAATTTTTGTAAACAGAATTGCAATCATAAAAATTTGCATGTACAGTACTGTACTGTATTATTTCATTTCTAAATTTATCTACCACTTGCTAGCTAGAAATCGCCCTTAGGTTTGCTTAGGACTAAGAACCGGCGTTCTATCCAAACTAGGTCTCAGCGAAGAGAAACAAAACGTATCAAATAATCAGGGTTGCGAATATGTATAAAGCATATTAAATCTTGCTTTACTAAGTGATGAATGATTTAATATATTATAGCTACATTTCTTTATTCAAAAGGCCAACGTCTTTAATTTTATTTCAGAATTAATGGGCATTGTTCCCATGTCGTTGGCCTTATTAAATCGCTTCAGGGTTTTAAGCTGCTTATCAGTAAAGTGAAGCACTATAAAATCATTTCTGACGTGATTCCAACCAATTTATTTTCAAACATAAATAAAATTTGGACTGTATGTTGTCATCTAACCCTATTACAAGATGTCTTTATAAAAGAGTAAACATCAAATGTGGCAAAGACAAGCCAAACCAGTCACTCGTCGCAAAAATCGATTTTGAGTTATTAATACAGTGTTAGAGAGTAAAATAATAGTTATAAAATGGTAAAAAATCATTCAAATCGGACATTTCCTTATGAAGTTACAAGCGTTTAATCACACAGATGTTTAAAGAACAATATATAAGAAATCGGCCTTCAAAGTTTATGATTTCAGGCATTTCTCATGAAGAAACTATCTTTAAATCCTTAAAAAGTGTTGTTTTAACATTGAAAATGGGGAAAATAACAGCATAGAATGATGTATAGATATATAAAGGTTAGTTTAGTGCAATAAAATAGATTTTTAAAAATTTGACATTCCAGCATGTTTTGGCCATTTTCTCTGTAACACAATTTGCGACAAGTGACTGGTTTGGCTTGTCTTTGCCACAAATTCTTCAACATCAAATATAGGTGTTGTTCACATACGTACCTGGTATGAAAGCACTGATCCAATCTGAACATTCCCAAGTGTAGTGCTGACTTTTGGGTGGTTTGATGATATTAAGTAATGCATAGGTGTATCTTCTAGTCCAATTAGATGCTGAAGTTGTATATTTGTTATCTCTGGTAACCTTGAATGTGTTAAGAAATGTATGAAGTGAAGAAGAGAATATTATTGTCAATGTTATGCATGTGCAATATAAAAAGCAATTGTAGAACATATAAAAAGGAATAAATGTTTTATGCTGAAAATTTTAATAGGCTGTACCTAATATTATTATAATTAAAGTATTACAGCATCACCTTCATTTATATACCCCAATGCTAAAAGTTTACTTAGTAATTCATAAAATCCACTGTCTTGAGTAATTTGCTTATCTGAGATTGACCCAGAATATAATTCTGAAATAAAAATTACAGAGCCATTTGGGTCACAAGCAATAAGGCCTTTAAGTGTTGTATTTGACTTGTAGTCACTGTATAACTGACTTTGGAGACCCATAGAACTTGGAGTCTGTGTCTTCAACTCAGTTGCATCAATTATTACTAATGTTTTTGGATAATCTTTCTTAAACTTCATTGGCATATTATTAATTATTATATCCCTGTGGGGCCATATGGATAACTGGCCAAACATGAAATACATATGTTCAATCCAAGTATTCAATATTATGCCAGCTGACTGTATTGCAACACAAAATCTCATACTCAGATCCTTTAATCCAAAATTATGTCGTAATCGAAATAGAGTCAAAAACAGACCATCTTTGTTGGACATAGATCTAACATCATGCCGAGTTACATTTCTATGTAGACTCACATTTGAAGGAATTAAGAAGTTTAGCAATGCTACAAATCTAATGAATGTTATTCCTGTGTAGTATCTAAAAAGATCTTTTATATGTGTTCCTGCTAATACATGTTCAACACCAAAATTAGATATGGGTTTTTGTAGTTTTTCTTCACAAATTTTTAACTTGGAGTGAAGTTCCTTGTTTTCAGCTGCCAAAGCCAAGAAATCAATTGCTGAAACCCCTGAAAAATAATAACAATCAATATCTCTAATACAATTTCATTTTGATTTTTTTTTCTTATTATTATTACTGTAGTCTACAAACTGGAGCAAAACACAGGTGGCATCTGTATGCCCACAAGGTTGTGGCGATACCAACATCCACAAACCCTCTCCTATTCAGTTACAAGACAAACATAAACACCTAAATAATATAATCACTGAAGATGAAATTAAAAGAATGGAAAGAGAAACAAGAGACCAATCAAATTCCAAGATATGGCATGATTTAAGGAAAGTGAGGCTGACTGCTTCTAACTTTGGCAAAATAATGAACAGAAAAGTAAAGCCTACAGAAGCTTTCCTGGAAGATCTATTTAACAGAAAGTCCAAATTTGCTGTATCATTAGAATATGGTAAGAGAAAAGAAGTGTTTGGAAAGGAAAAATACCTTGAACAAAACCCTTCAAGCCATCTGCATGAATGTGGTTTTGTAATTAATAAGGAATTCACATTTTTAGGGGCTACCCCAGATGTAATAGTATGTTCAAATAGTAAATGTGGGCTTCTAGAAATTAAGTGTCCTTATTCAGCAAGAAATATGTCAATAAGCCAGGCCTGTGCAGATATTACAGGTTTTTATCTTAAGCATTCTGAAAATGGCATTGCACTTGACAGGAGGCATAATTACTATGCCCAAGTGCAAGGTCAACTAATGATAACTGGTTGTAATTTTTGTGAATTTGTAGTCTATACACAGAAAGACCTTTATATTGAACGTATCACACCCGACATCCAATTTATGGCAATAATGTTAGAGAAATTGGCAGATTTCTATCAATTTTATGGAGTGCCATATTTAACTAGCTAATTGTTTTTTTTTTACTTTTTAACCAATCAATTCATAATAATAGTACATACATTGGTTGTCTGTTTGAGATGTAGAACTTTTGTACTTGCAATTTTCATCAGTCTTCATGTTTGATCTGCAAAAACAAATTTCACTGCTAATCTGCATGTTCAAAAATAATATGCAATTAAAGTATAGTCAAATTTTGAGGACCCTAGAGAAAATACAGTACATTCAATATAACTTGTCTTTCTGTGTATAGACTACAATTAATTGTTGTTGATAAAGTTTATTATAGTTATATAATGATTGGAATATGTATATCAATACTATATTTGATACTGAATCTATTATCATGTCTCAACTTTTGACCATAGAGCAGTTTGAAACTTAAATTTCCAACTAGGGTGTACTTTCAATTATACCATCAGTCATTATAGTGACAGCAAGTGTACAGTTAAGTTCTGATATTAAATTAATGTTAGTTGTTACAATGTTTTTAGTGCGTCATAAAAAAATAAAAATCATAACTTACATTTCTGTAATATCTTGTTGTGGTGTCTTAATTTTTTTTTTTTTTTTTTTTTTTTTTTTTTTTTTTTTTTTAAAATCCTAAAAAAACATCATAATTATTTTTTTATAATTTTAATTAACCATTTTTTTTGTATAAAAAATTTTTT